GCACCGCCTACAACTGCAAAGCTCTCCAGCGAGTAGTGCGGTGCTCTGAACGGATAATTGGAGGTGAGCTTCCCTCCCTCCAAGACATCTACAGGAAGCGGTGCCTGAGGAAAGCGGGGAGGATCATCAAGGACTCCAGTCACCCCAGCCATAAACTGTTCAGACTGCTTCCATCAGGAAGGAGGTTCTGCAGCATCCGGTCCCGTACCAGCAGACTGAGAGACAGCTTTTTCCATCAGGCCATCAGACTGCTGAACACGTCATAGACACCTCAGCTTCACTACTGGAACTTCAACATTATGCACTCCACACTGTATATAAATGCCACTTGTTTTGCACATATTCAACTCTGTATATTTTATATATTTTATTATTATTATTATTATTATTTTATTTTTTTACTATTTAATTTGTAAAAATGTGTATACACACACACACACACACACGTAGGAAAATATTTAGTATACACATCCAGAAATGCATACACTATTATATATTGTACATATATTTATTAGTTTCAGGTTGGCCATTCTTGTATTTTGCTCATTTGTGTTGTTGTGTTTGCACATCTCTGTTGCTTGTGGGGCTCGCACACAAGAATTTCACTCGCATGTGCTGTGCCAGTGTGCCTGCACATGTGATGTGACAATAAAAAGTGATTTGATTTGATTTAGTCTTACTGTTACTTCAGAAATGCAAATAGTTATTTATAACTGATTACTCATTTAAAAAATATACAAAATAACTTACCGATTGGTTTGTATGAAAGTAATTAGTTATGTCAGTTATTTACTGTTGGACAAGTTACTGACAATTTGAAATATGTTATATTTAGTAATTTCACCTTTAAAAAAAATGACCAATACTGACAATAAAAGTAATATTGACTTTAATGCTCTTATTAATGTGAAGATGAGTATTTTTTTGTGTGTTTAAATTTTTTTTTGACAGTAACTCTGAACAAATCATGTAATTTTGGTTTGCTTTGCCTAATAGTCATTCTCTTAGGCTATGTCCACACGTACCCGGGTATTTTTGAAAACGCAGATTTTTCTATGCGTTTGCACCTTTCGTCCACACGTAAACTGCGTTTTTGGTCACTGAAAACGGAGATTTTTAAAAACTCCGGCCAGGGTGGATATTTTCTAAAACTCCTGTTACGGCCCTAGCAGGGCCTCCTCCTGAAGGTGCCTGTGTGGGCGTGTCACACTACCTCTTCTGCCTGAGGTGCCACCTTTCCCTTTTGTGCAGCTGACTCTCGTCAGTAATCAAGGAGATTTAAGCCCAGGGAAAGGTGAGCTCTGGGCCAGAGTGCCATTTGTGTGGTTTACAGCTAGTGAGCTGAGTGTTTTTGTGGTGTTTCCAGCTGGTGAGCTGTGTTTTGTGGTTGTCAGCTAGTGAGCTGCGTTTTCCTTTTGACTTTTTGCCTTACTGACCGACGCCTGAGTTTTTGTTTGTTTCTTTTATGGTGATAACGGCTTGTCCGTCTCTTTTAGTTGAATTACTTCAATAAAACTGTTTTATTTAACTGTTTTGCCTCCCTGACTCCTTTTTCTGACCCGGTCACTTTTGTTACTTCCCCTCCCCGCCTAGACCCCTCAGGGGAACGTAACAAGTGGGGGCTCGTCCGGGATCGTTGAAAAGGGAGTTTTGAGTTGGAATTGGTTTTTGATTATCTGGCTGTTTTTTACCTTTGGAGATTCAACTTCCCAGTTTAGTTAGATGAGTGTCCAGCTGAGCTTTGTTTTAAGTTCTTCCTTCGGGCACTCTTTTGTTGTTTTGCCTTTTTTATTTTCGGAGTAATCCTGGGCGGGGATTAGTTCCCTGTTGGGGGTAGGCAATTCAGGGCTCCAGTCGCTGAAGTTCTGCCTTTCAAGTCGCCTCGAGCCCAGCACGCTCCAGAAGATAGGTAGGTAAAGTTTGCTGTGCTTAGGAACTGGGTAGGTTGTATTTGTTAATGTGTGTGTAGCAAAAGGTAAGTTGGTCAAGAAGAGTAAGTTGTTCGGTTACCATTAATTGTTGGCTAGCCTGTGAGAACTGGCACAGGTGTGTGTGGTGGTTTTCTTCAGGCTGAAATGGCGTTCCAGTTGAATCAGCTGGAGCTGACAAGCACTGGGCCTACATCTGTTGGTGAACAGGTGTCTAGAAGCTCGTTTGTGGGCAATAACATCCACCTGGTTCCCGTTTTCTGTGAATCCAGTGTTGAGAGCTTCTTCAGTGTATTTGAAAGCATAGCAACTGCATTACAGTGGCCTGAAGACGTGTGGGGGGTGATGTTGCTGTGTAAATTCACGGGTAAGGCTCAGGAAGTTTGCTCTGGTCTGTCTATGCAGGACAGCCTAGTTTATGAAAAGATTAAAAGTGCTGTCCTCCAAGCCTATGAACTTGTGCCTGAGGCCTATAGGCAGAACTTTTGAGGTTTGGAGTTGGCACAGGGTCAGTGCTACCTTGACTTTGCTCGGGAGAAGGCAAAGCTTTTTGGTAGGTGGTGCTCTGCAAGCCAGGTTAACAGTTTGGGGTCGTTACGTGAGCTCATGCTTGTGGAGGATTTCAAAAACTCTGTTCCTGAGTCTATTTCTTGTTATTTAAGTGAGCAAAGGGTTTCCACTCTACAGCAGGCTGCCATACTGGCGGATGGGTTTACCCTAACTCATAAAACAAACGTGGTGGAATGTGACATCCCTTCTCACGGTAACACATCTTGGAGAGCTAGGAGGGAGCCAGCTAACAAGGCTGAAAAAGTTGTGGTTTCGAGACCCAAAACAAAGCTTTGTTTCTTCTGCCACAACCCTGGACACCTCATTGCTGACTGTTCAAAATTGAAACTCAAACGGAAAGCCGACTCAAAGCAACAAGTGCCTGCTTTGAGAAAAGCTAGTCGTGGTTCTCAAACCGACCAGGTTGCCAGGCCTAGTAAAAGGCTACACTTGGAGCATAATTGCTCAATCGTGTCATGTAGTCAGTGTGAGAGGTCAACTAACCCTGAGCTGCTGCTGGTTGACAATGTCCCCGTTCCTCAACATGACCTGCAGGTGGACAGATCATGTATAACACCACCACTCAGACCTGCACCCCTGACTAACAAACATGCCTGTACCCGTGACCTGAGCAATCGTCTGAAAACTGTTGCAGTAAGGTCTTCTGACTGCCTGCTGTGTTCTCCACATGTGATGGCTCAAAAAAGCCCTAGCCACCACATGAGACATTGTTTTGAGGGTCTGCGGCCACCCTCAGTCAGTATTTTGAACCCGTTGAGATGGGGTTGGCAGCTTCCGCAGGCAATGCCTAACCGTTGCTATGGGGTTTGGTAGGTGGAAAGCCTGCGATTTGTTGATGCGATGGTTACGGACTTGATTAGTTGTTTTGGTTATCATAATCATTTGACAAACCACGGGTTTGTATTTATGGGAGGGGGTGTTACGGCCCTAGCAGGGCCTCCTCCTGAAGGTGCCTGTGTGGGCGTGTCACACTACCTCTTCTGCCTGAGGTGCCACCTTTCCCTTTTGTGCAGCTGACTCTCGTCAGTAATCAAGGAGATTTAAGCCCAGGGAAAGGTGAGCTCTGGGCCAGAGTGCCATTTGTGTGGTTTACAGCTAGTGAGCTGAGTGTTTTTGTGGTGTTTCCAGCTGGTGAGCTGTGTTTTGTGGTTGTCAGCTAGTGAGCTGCGTTTTCCTTTTGACTTTTTGCCTTACTGACCGACGCCTGAGTTTTTGTTTGTTTCTTTTATGGTGATAACGGCTTGTCCGTCTCTTTTAGTTGAATTACTTCAATAAAACTGTTTTATTTAACTGTTTTGCCTCCCTGACTCCTTTTTCTGACCCGGTCACTTTTGTTACTTCCCCCTCCCCGCCTAGACCCCTCAGGGGAACATAACACTCCGTTTTTGCATTTACGTGTGGACAGAAAAATGGAGAAAACGCAGTGTCAAAGGTGTGCTCATTTTTTGACGTCACACTGTGCGCAACGTTATTATTTCGGTGAAATGAATTTCTACAATACTGTTACTTCTACTCTCTGCACTGTTTAAATGCTTACATATACACACAGTTACTGTCCCTCCACACATACCACTTGCTTCTGCTTCTATGCCCCAGCTTTGTTTACTTTTTCCCACCGAGGCTTCTAGACTTCTGATTGGCCAACATTTCTGCACGGTTAGGAATCTAGCGCCACCTGTTGCTTTGGCATGTTCATAGCAGCGTTTTCCTTCATTTCTGCCTTTACGTGTGGACGGGATTATTTTTTAAAACGAAAACGGAAAATCTCCGTTTTCAAAAATACCCGTGTACGTGTGGACATGGCTTAAATTGACCTTGAACACATATGTAAACATGATAGCGACCTATTCAGTTAGCTGACTGGCTTTTACCAGCTGATTTCAACACGTATATCAACAATATATCAACTTTTTTTAAACTAATAGGACTTTCTGCAAAGTTTGGATGCATTCACCGGAGCGAACGAACGGATGACTGAAAAAAAAAAAAACAGTCTGACAAGACTGCAGCTTTGCGTTTCTGCCACAGCTCTCATTTACGTTTCAGGTGAGTTACTTAATTTAGCGAAACAACTAGTTCGACACTCATCACTGTTAAAATAAAAGTACAACATGAGTCTGTCAAAAACAACACATTTAATGGACGTACTTGGATCAGCCAAAGTAAATGCTAAAATTATGTTACAGCTTCTGCAGCTCGTTTCTCTGGCTTTTGTTAATGTGACTCAAAAGTTGTCTCAGACTCAATGCTACAAACACGTAGCATATAAAGCAACGCCAAGTCATGTTGGAAGCTAGTATGTTTCATTCGGTAGCGCGGGCTGCAGTTGTGCCGTAAAATAACTCGTTACCATGGTTAAACGCGCCTGCTAAATTGTCGTAAATGTGGGGGATAAAGTAAATTATTTTTTTATTAACCTATAATAATTAACGTTATTTTGCAATGCACAAAGACAGTTGTTTGGTTTAAAAACCAATCAATCATCCTTTTAGGATTTTTGGGCCAAAGAAATGTCAGGCAAATTGAAGACGAACTTCGTTTCTGGCTGTCGTGAATGATCTGGTGGACATCTTAAGTTCATGTAGACACGTGCCTGCCACTACTGTCCCAGAGTTCTTTGCATTCGCGTTTCATTGGAAGTAAGTTAAAATGTATTATACAGTGCTCATTTTTTGTACATATTACACTCCTTTCGAAAGTTCTAAATGTTTTGGTGTGTTTATATTGTGTAACGTTGCAGCCGAACAGTGACTGGACGAGGCAAGCTAACGCCAAAAAAGCTAACTAGTGTGCTAAGTAGGCTAACAGCATGGAAGGACTGGATGAGGTCACAGTGTCGGTTTTAAAGGGTAATGTATGCAAATTTATTTTTAAACAGATTAAATGGACTTATGTTTTACATAGGTGTATGAACACGGAAGTGTGCAAATTACATTATTTTATAAATAATGTCGTTGATGATGTTTAAGTAATTTTTTTACCTTCCATTTCATGTGATCATTTCCTCATTTTAGGAACATTTGTAGTTATTTGTTTTACTTATGCAAGTGTATTTATTCATCCTTAGAGGTGGATAATTATACTAAACTATACTAAACTAGTTAGCAATAGCAACACAATTTTAATGAAGTGTCAACTTTCATAGTCTCATCTCTCATGCAGTTTCCTTTGTAGGGCATAATTTCATCTTGCTATGTTTTTCTTCCAATGTGTTCATAGCTGCAAACATCAGCGAGGGAATGATGGGCACCCTGTCTCGTGAAGACTTGCAGGATCTTTTCCCAGGCCCAGAGAACTTTTTACGGAGAAAAGCTGTCTGGCGTGCCTGTCAGGATGTACTGGAGGTCAGTTTCTCAGTCACTCACCACCACTTAAAATTGGCATCGTCGTGTTTTTGTCCGATTACAACTAGTTTAACCGCGGGCAGAGTTGAATGGCTCTTCACTATTCCCCCCTCTCCACACACACACACACACACAAAAATTGCGTTTTGCTTTTATTCATTATTATTTATTTTATAGGAATCTGGCCAAGATGACTCAAAATCTTCAACCAGCTCCTCCATTAATGAGTCACCCAAGCAACAGACATCCACTACTGTAAATGCAACTGCTGCAAAATGCACAAGCCCTGAAAAGGTTGTGAAGTTATTCTATCCAGAATATGTATTGCACACTGAGCTTGAGCAAGTCCGCCAACAATACTTTGAGTTGTCAAAGAAAAGTGAAGAGCGCAGCTGCAAAATGTCAAAGGAGCTCAGATGTCGGCTCATCCGAAACACCATGACTAGTATGATTGCAATCCTGAGGGCAAAAGGGGATGGAGAATCGCATAGATACCCATCAAAACCAGAAATTACAGCAATGGCAAAGAGAATAGTGCAGTACTACCCTATGCTACAGGACCAAGGCATCAAGAATACATGGGTAAGTGAAATGCATCCACTTCAATACCAAAGTGTTTCATGTTGGACATTTTAGTAGTGGTTGGAAAAATGTATTAAATGTCCTATACAGGTTACTGTGTACACACAGCTAAACAAAAGACTGCAAAATGTGAGATCCCCACAAAAAGCCACTCCAGATGGGAGACATTCAAAGAGGTAAGGCTGCAACTAATTAATTTTAATTTTAACTATGATAATTCTGTTATTCATTTTCCTCATTAATTGATAAGTTGTTTAGTCAGTACGATGTTTGAAAGTTGTGAAAGTTTTTCCCCAAAAGTCTTCTTTTGTCCACAATCTGACAATTTTAATTTCAACGATAGAGGACAAACAAAAAAGCTAAAATCATGTTTGGGCATTTTATTAAGGAAAGAAAGAAGTGATCCAATGTGATCAATCAAGTATTTGGTGACCTGCCTTTAGTTTCCTCACCTGTTTTAGCATGAAAGGAAGAAGCACTTTGTGTTACACTTTGTATATTTGAAAATGGCTGTACAATAAAGATATGAATTGATTGAGTTTATAGTTGATAACTAATTGATTAACTGACTAATCTTCGCAGCTCTGCCAAGAGGCGATGTCTTGATCAGCCAAGTGACGTAGAAGAAATGGATTCAAGTGACTCAACAATCATTCTGGATCTGTCCACAGAAGGGAGGAGCAGCCCAGAGTCGGCCAGTAAAACAAGTGAGTTAGAAGGTGAGTTTCAACTTTACATTTACAAACTGTGTGGTCATCATAAAAAAATAAAACAAATATACCTGCATGTTGAGTCAAGATGGCAGTCCTGAGATGACAGAAGTAAAAGGCTTTAAAATGGGCATCAGAAAATGATAACTACATCACATTTTTCCTGTTTTATCATCAGTTTGTTAACATTTCTGTGGAAATTAATGTTAATAAAGTATTGGTATTAATAAAAGCCAGTATATTATAAATTTAAAGAGCTGGGTACTGTGGTGTGTTTATAGTATAAGTCTGTGCAACATCACTGTCTCTAACCACTCAGTATATCATGTAAAGTAATGTTTTTAAAAAACAATGTGCCTCACTAGAGGCTTTTTTTTCCTCTTTTTAACTGTTTTTTAATTTAGGTTCCAAACTAATTTTTAAAGTGTATTACCCTGACACAAAATATCTCTTTGCTATGTCTTTAAGGAAAAAGGAAAGCACAAAACCTACTTGAAGAAGAACCCTCTACCCTGCCAAGTCCTAATAGTGAGTCCATCCAACTGCCTCATGGCTGTGTGTGTGTGTGGGCACTTCTTTATAGGGGTGCACTTGTGTGCCTACATATAATTGTATATGATTGCATGACCATATGTAAATTGGCATTTGCATGGTAAATATTTTGAAAAATGAATAAGTATTTAATAGTTAAGTTCAGAGCTGTATTTTTTTTTTTTTTTAAGATTTAACTCCATTAAAGTATAGTCTATAGACACTTGTCATTTTAATGACATAATTAATGACAGATTTTTTTTTTTAAAGTGAGAGACATTATTTATATAATTTTGTGTCTTGCAGCAAACAAGCCTGCAGATATCAACAGTCCAGACACCCACTGTCCAGCAACCTTGGCCAAACACTACAAGACCCTACAAACTTTGTTTAAAAGAAAAAACCCAAACCAGCAGGATGTCTCTCAGCTCCTGGATTTGGAATTTTCAGCCAGAATCCATTGATTCAAATACTATTCGCGAGGAGGACAGACACAAAAAGGTTCTAGAAGCATATCCTTGCTTCAAGGACATTGGACATGTAAGTGTAACCGGACTTACGACTTATCATTAAGAATGACCGAACTCCACTAGCCAGTATCAGAAGATCTAGGATCGGCAGGAGCCCAAGGTATAAACACCAATAAGGAGAGACCACACCACAATATACTGTTCACAAATTTGTTATATTTGACACACAGCAGCTGCAACAATGTAATGAAAAACAATAAAATAAAATACAAAATATTTCCCCCAAAATAACAAACTAAATAAAAGTGCGCGCATACAGCTTTCTCTGAGTCAATTATATGAGTGGATAATGTCTGATAACTGATGGATCGTTGGGGCCCGTTCAGTATGTTTAATGTTTGTCCTACCACACTCCGATGAAGGAAGAAAGTTCGTAGTCCTGCAGGTATCTGAAGCTTCAATGGGAATGAAACTTTGGCTTCAATAAAACCTTGGCAAATCCTTTTCAATTTCGGGTTGGCTCGCCATCCAGTTAACTGGAACTGTGGAATCACTGCTCCTCGATGGGGCTTGCTTCAGACTGGGTCCGTCTGTCGAGTCATCCTTTTACCAGATAACAAAAAAACCTGACCGTTGACAGGGTGAAACTCTGAACAACCAAAAACAACTGCAGCAGACTTGCTTTTAACTCCTAGCGATTCGACTTCGGGAACATTAGTTTCTCTGGCACATGGCATTATATGAACAGGAACGAAATGGCAACACAGGAAATCATGTGATCAAGGTCAACAGCAAGGGTCACTGGGAGCTCATTGCTGATTGGCCAAGTTAAATGACAACAGATAATCTTATTGGTCCACATCTTCCTTTAAACATAAAAGAAAAAAGAAATGACTAAATTCTTTACATTATACATGAAAAAAAACTACTTTCCACTGCTCTTTTTTTCTAGCTGGGCTACAACCTCCCCCACTGAACTCATGCACGCCCCGTTGCATGGCAATGGTTGGGTAATTACTGTCTGATGGGTCTGGACAGGGCAATCTAATGGGTGATAACCCTCATCCAAAATGTCTGTAAAAGCTGTGGTTAAACCCTGGAACAGAGATTGCACCACAGCTATAAGTGGATGCCCAAGTTTCACATACTGAAGGCGTTTAGGCGGTTCTCGCTCCCTATTTGATCGTCTAGCAGAACCAGGTTGGTCTTGGCTTCCAATCAGTGTCTGGTCTACTGAGAGCTCTTCAGGAGATTCATCTGTTGGTGACTCATTTGACAATCCCATTTCAGTTCGACCTGTCGCCTCAACATCCGTAGACAGGTTTGGAGCAAGAGAAGATAAACCGGAATTCAAGTCATGACAATCACTTCCAGGTGCAATCCTTTCAGTCTCCATCTCTGCTGGTGGATTTTGGTCATCGCTCACGATTTCTGTGTCATGACAGTGACTCTCAGACACTGGAAGAGTTGCTGAATCTGGACTGTCAACAGGTAAGTTACATAACTGGTCAGTTTGTGGATTGCAGCTTGGATATCGAGCAGTAAAACCTTTAACTGAGGGACAAAATTCTGGAAGTTGTGCATCTTCCCCAGAAGACACTGATAAATAAGGGTGCGTTTCTTGATGAATGGTGACCGTAGGTATCTCAGAACTGGGGGCGTCTCTGAACCAGCAATTGGGGAAAATCTCATCCTCGGCCTCTGAGAGTTGATCGGAGTCTGCAACTGGACTGAGACGTGTTGCCGGCCTGCGTCTTTGTGTCTGCCCTACAGGCTCGTCACTACTCTCGTTGGGGAGATAGCCACAAGGGAGTAATAGGTCCCTATGCAATGTCCGCAGTGGACCATCTTTCTTTTCAGGTCTCACAGTATACACTGGAAGGGATCCTGCTCTGCTTACGACTATGTAGATGGCTGACTCCCACTTGTCTGCAATCTTGTTTTTTCCACAAATGCGGACATTTCTGACTAATACTCTGTCCCCTGCCTCCAGATCTGAAATAGTCACACGCCTGTCAAATCTGGATTTATTCTTTTCTGCTATCTTGGCAGCATTTCCAGTAGCTACCTTGTAACTCTCTTGTAAATGGGATTTCAGATTTTGCACGTACTGTGAGTGTGAAATCTGTTGCTCCTCTTCCACCGGCAGCCCAAAAGCCAAATCCACCGGCAGGCGGGGCTGACGACCGAACATAAGTTCGTACGGTGCAAATCCAGTCACCTCATTCCTGGTGCAATTATAGGCATGAACAAGGGGCTTCACAAAGTCACGCCAGTGAGACTTGTCTTTGTTTTGAAGAGTGCCTAGCATGTCCAGCAATGTGCGATTGAACCGCTCCACTGGATTTCCTCTGGGATGGTAGGGAGTAGTTCTAACCTTCTGTATGCCAGCCATCTGACAGAGCTCTTTTATTGTGCGAGACTCAAAATCAGGTCCCTGGTCACTGTGCAACTTTTCTGGGAACCCGTAATGCACAATAAAATTGTCCCATAGGCACTTAGCTACTGTGCGGGCCTTTTGATTGCATGTTGGTATAGCAATTGCATACTTAGTAAAGTGATCGGTGATCACAAGGATGTCTTTGGCTCCACTTTTGTCTGGTTCGAGAGAGAGGAAGTCCATACAAACCAGTTCCAGTGGCCTTGTGGTACTGATGTTGACTAACGGTGCAGCTCTGTCGGGCAACGCCTTTCTGCGCACACATCTACCACAGGTCTTTATTTTCCTCTCTACATCCAAGGCCATTCTGGGCCAATAGAATCTGGCCCTAACGAGATCTAATGTGCGCTCAATGCCCATATGACCTATATGGTCATGCAGACTGCTCAAAACCGTCTCTCTGAGCTCTGGGGGCAGTACTAACTGGTGAGATACCCGAGACCCGAGCTGGCGTCTCCGGTATAAGACGTCGTTTATAAGCTGAAACCGACCAACCTCTCGAAGTAGGAGTGGAAGATCTGGAAGTTCACCCCTTAAAGTAGGCGGTGGGCTTACCCCATGCTCAAGTTGGGATATAACATTCCTTAGACATTGGTCAGCTCTCTGTTTATCCATCAACTCAGTCTCAGTCAGTTGAGGAATAACAGGCAATCCTCCAAACTCATCTTCTTGTCCATAGCAGTCAGGCACAGCATCAGAGGACATGGCAAGAGTTTCAACAAGAGTAACACAGCCATCCAAACTCGGATTAACAGAGCTGGCACTATAGACTGACTGTCTTTCACAAATGGCTTTCACAACCGCTTGGTTGGCTTCCTCGAGATTTTCAAGATCAGCGAGATGACCCTGAGTGAACTGGAAAATGCGCTCCCTCTCTTTCTGGGATTTCAGATCATCCACAAGAGCTCCGTGGGGTCTACGGGATAACCCATCCGCATCCCAGTTTTGCTTCCCAGGACGATACAGCAGCTTGAATGTGAACGTAGACAAAACTGCAAGCCATCTGTAGCTCGTTGCATCAAGTTTTGCAGTCGTCAATATGTACGTCAAGGGATTGCTATCAGTGACAACAGTAAAGTGATTCCCATATAGGTAGTCACTAAACTTTTATGTTACTGACCACTTAAGCGCCAAAAACTCTAATTTGTGCGCTGGGTATCGAGACTCGCTATGCGACAGCCCTCTGCTTGCATAGGCTATGACACGTAACTGCCCTTCCTGCTCCTGGTACAAGACAGCACCAAGGCCTGTAGTGCTAGCATCAGTGTGGAGCACATAAGGCTTTTGAGGGTCAGCGAACCCTAGGACAGGGGCAGTTGTCAGCTTTTCAATAACTGACTCAAATGCCTGCTGGCAAGCTGATGTCCAACGGTTCCCAAACGGCTCTTTGGGATGGTGATAATGCTCTTGGCTGTCTCTTGATCTACCCCTTTTGGTTGATTGAGGATAGCCCTGAGTCAGATCATTGAGGGGCTTCACAATGCTGGAATAGTCTTTTACGAACCTTCGATAATAGCCAGCGAACCCAAGAAAAGATCGCAATTCCCTGAGGGTCTGAGGAACTGGCCAAGTACGAAGGGCAGAGATTTTCTCTGGATCTGTCTCAACTCCATTTCTGGACACTATGTGTCCCAGGTACCGCACTGAGGTCCGGAAAAACACACACTTTTCAGGTGATAACTTTAATCCAAACTCTCTCAACCGAGTGAGCACCTCCAACAACCTTGTTTCATGTTCTTCCAGGGTCTTTGAGAACACTATCAAGTCGTCGAGGAAAACTAGCACCTCTTTCAAATGCATATCCCCCATGCACTTCTCCATTAATCTTTGGAATGTGCTTGGCGCATTTGTCAGGCCTTGCGGCATGCGGTTAAATTCCCAGAAACCCAAAGGGCAGATAAAGGCCGTCTTGGGTTTATCCGCTTCCTCCACCTCGATTTGATAATATCCAGACTTTAGGTCAAGCACAGAAAATGTTTATTTGTGGGGACTTTAATATTGACTTATTGAATCCAAATCATAATAAGAGTACAAAAGAATTTATTGATTCCATGTACAGCATAGGTTTATTTCCGCTGATAACAAGACCGACCAGAATAACATCTCATTGTGCAACTCTATTAGATAATATATTTACAAATATAATAGAAGGAAAGATAAAAAGTGGGCTGTTAATCAATGATATAAGTGACCATTTACCAGTCTTTGCATCGTATAATTGCCATTATAAAGTGAACAACAATGGACATAAGATTATTTACAAAAGAATAAGAACAGAGAAGACCTTAAATTGTCTTAGAAATGAACTTTTAAAGCAAGATTGGAATATTGTATATGAACAAACAGAAGTTAATAAAGCTTACGAAGGATTTTTAAGAACATTTAACACATTACTTGATAAAAACTGCCCAGTAATTGAAATCAATAGGAAACACAACTATGCAGGAAGACCATGGATGACAAAAGGACTACAAAATGCC